TGTGAGGCGGTAATTTATGGGGAGGTGCTTTGTAAACATATAAGATAATATGATTAATTAACCACTTCTAGAAGGAAGCCCTTTGGGGCCTGTTTTATGGAAGAAACAAGCTTCTGGTAATTAGCAGGAGAACTGGCATCCTCACAATTTGTGGGGGAAAGTCTCTTCTCAAGAGCAGACAAACTATGGTCAACTCGATGCTGTTTCCTAAGAGAGGTTCCTCTAAACAGGCAAGGTAAGTCGGTGTGCTCAGTGCAGGCAGCTAGCGATTCCACACCAGCAGATCATTTCGCACCCCTGCACCTCTGCAGAAGCCAAGCCGATCCCACTGCCCAGACACCTGCCCCGTAAGGTCAACTCACCCATCAAGGTCGGGCGTGGCTGCCAAGTCCTCTGTAAAGCCCTTTGTTTTTGGCTCCCCTGTAACCCCCACCCCAGTATTAGTTTCTCCCTGTTTGCTCTCACAGCACTTGAAGCCCTCTGTTAGTTACACTCTTTCTCCAAGGGTCTCTCCCACTGCTGTGGAGACAGGGCCCAGCTCACACTGTGTCTCAGGCAGCTCCCTGAGGGCCAGCATGTGCATGCTGTGTTCACAGCTTAATTCTCCCTCCTCACTGTCTAGGACAGCATCTGGCACAGTGTGGATGCTCAGGAAGTCCTGGATGAATGAAACAGTTGGCAGGATGGAATCTCTCTGCCACCCTAGGGCAGGCCTTCAGCCCTACCCAGGCACACAGTCGCTTTGGCTGTTACTACACGTGGGCTCTGAGCCTCATTTTCATTTCTTCCTCCTGGATCCTTCTATCCTCTCTTCACATGTTATATTTATCACTTCTAATCTGCTCCTGGTTGGAAAAACTACAGCCAGCCTTGTGAGAGGTGTTTGTAAAGTGCAAAAGTCAACAGACTGAGTGCCTGGGTGCTTGCCCAAGAAACACCGCTAGATTTCAGCGTTCTCAGTTCCGGCCACTCCCATCTCCAGCTTCCGTCTGCCGGGGCTGCTTTCTGAAGTAAAGTGACCTTTGGACAGGTGCCCAGATATGGTCCTATGAATGAAGTTTACAGCCTCACCTGGGCCCTTTGTGCTGCTGAGCCTGTGCTGAGGTCAGAGGTTCCGCCCATCTTCCATTATAACCTCTTGCCTAATCTAATTTCTAATCTAATTTCTGATTAGATGGGAGGCCCCAGAGATCACAGAAGTTCATCTCAGATTTCTCTACATCTTCAGAAGTATGTCAGTCCCTGGCTGGGCGTGGTGACTCACACCTGTAATCCCACAGCTTTGGGAGGCTAAGGCAGGTAGATCACCAGAGGTCAGGAGTTCGAGACCAGCCTCACCAACATGGTGAAACCCCATCTCTACTAAAAATACAAAAATTAGCCAGGCGTGGTGGTACGCACCTGTAAGCCCAGCTACAGGGGAGGCCAAGGCAGGAGAATCACTTGGACCCAGGAAGCGGAGGTTCAAGTGATCCTCAGTGAGCCGAGATCATGCCACTGCACTCCAGCCTGGGCAACGGACTGAAACTCCATCTCCAAAAAAAAAAAAAGTATCTCAGTCCCTCCCGGCCCCTCCCTCCTGCTCCAACACCACCTTCCTCCTGGAAGACCTCCACCCTCACTTCCTTATCTTTACCCTTTCCTCTGCTGATTCCTTCCAACATGGGCAGGCAGATAAGGAGATCAGGAGTTCAAGACCAGCCTGGCCAACATGGTGAAACCCTGTCACTACCAGAAGTACAAAAATTAGCTGGGCAGGGTGGCAGGTGCCTGTAATTGCAACTACTTGGGAGGCCGAGGCAGGAGAATTGCAGAACTGCAATCAGCTGAGATTGCACCACTGCACTCCAGCCTGGGTGACAGAGTAAGACTCTGTCTCAAAAAAAAAAAAAAAAAAAAAATAGCCCTCATTAAAAAAAAAAAAAAATCCTAGCCATACCATCCTTCCAAAGCTCCCACCTCCTTTCTCCCTCTCCCACCAACTCTTTTGGAAGAGCCATTTCCACCCTTTCCCATCTGCCTCTCACTCTTCACCCAATTGCAGTGAGGCTTCTACCTGTGCTGTGCCACCCAGTCAGCCCGAGTGACCACAAGGCCACCATTGCCTCTTCTGCATTCAACATTGTGGAGAGGCTTGCCCAGTTCAACCCCTGGGGCATCCCTTCACTGCATTAATCCACTATCCACCAGTGTCTACTACTATGACAGGCACTGTTCTAGGCACTAAGGACACCGCTGTGGACAAACCAGAAAGACTCTGGCCCTTCGACAGCTTACATTCTACCTCTGTTTTGGGAGGATCTCCTCTCCTGGTTTTAGAGATAACAGCTCTTGTTCCTCTACTTAGGGTCCTCTTCTAGCAATGGGTTGTTCTCTGGGCCTTGATCTTTTTATTTTTTATTTTTATGTATTTAATTATAAAATTGAGATGGGGTCTTGCTGTGTTGCTCAGGCTGGTCTCGAACTCCTGGGTTCAAATGATCTGCTCACCTCAGCCTCCCAAAGTGCTGAGATTACAGCCACCGTGCCCGGCCTTAATCTTCATTTCTCTTTTTATTCCACAGTCTTCCTAGAAGATCTTCTTCCAGTGTGTGGATACCGGTGACTAACTCTCAACTTTTCTCCAGCCTGGGTCTATGAGACAGACCCATACGTGCAGGAGGCACCCATGCCTCCATTCCTGCACAGCCCATGGCCACCTGCCAGCTCCTGGCACACCTGCTCCTTCTTAAAACCATGCATCACCCGTGCCAGAAACCTAGAAACCATTTTTAAACCCTTCTCTGTTGTCCTCGCACAGAACTGATGACCAAATCCCATCCATTCTTCCTCTGAGGGTTTGCTTTTATGTCACTGGTGCAACGGCAACCTTCTTGATGGTTTCCTGGTCTCTAGTCTCACATTCTTAGGTCCACCCCTCCATACCAGACGCCTGAGTCATTTCCTTATGATGCAAGTCTGATCACGTCTGCCCTGGGCAGCGGGTCCCTATTGTCCTCATCCTAAAGTCCATGCTCCCTAGCTGGGCCCCATGCTGGTGCCCATCTGCCCATTCTGACTGTGTAATGCCATACTCACAAGGCCCTTTTGGTCTGGCTCTGGCCTACCTTGTTGGCCTCCCCATCCTTCCCCCTCCTCCTGTTCACTCTAGTGACACACTATACTACTCACACTTTACTGAATGCCAGGCTTTCTCTCTTCTGGGCATTTTACTTGGCAGGCCCCCTGCTCACCCCAACCCTGTTTTGCTTCTGGAAAACACCTCCTCTGTCCTGGCCTTAGAGTCCTAGTTGTTATTAACTCACTATAAGATCACAGTCAAGACATCACTAAATCCAGTAGCTGTCAACCTTGGCTGCACATTGGATTTGGTCAGGAAACTTTTAATTGAATGCCCAAACAGCATCCCAAGCCAATTAAATCAGAATCTGGGGGTGTCCAGGAAACCCCAATGTGCAACCAAGTGGAGAGTTCAGCCTCCTTCTGTTTCCTCCCAGTCTGTCTTACAGACTTTCTACCTGTAAGGATTCCCAAAGGGAGCCAGTTATGAAGCACACATTTTGGCAAGAGCTGTCAAGAACAGTTAGCAAATGCAGGGCTTGGGGCTGCTCCAAGCATGGGCCCACGGTCGCCATGCCCAGCAAACTTGGAAAAGTCCTGTCACCTCCGCTGCAGCTGAGCATGACTCAGCAGCCCAAGCCTTCCTGGTAACTTGCTCCTCAGCATCGGGCGTGGCCCCATAGCCACGGTCTGCCTATTTGGAAGATGCCCAGCTAACTCCAGACACTACCCGGTTCCCCCAAACAGGCCCCTGATCTTTGGGAGTCACTGCACCCACTTGCCAGCCTCATCCGTCTGGACAAGAGATGTGGTCCTGATGTGAGGACTGCCCACTCTCATTTGGTCCTCTCTGGGAAGGTACAGATTTTTTAACTGGCAAGGCAGCTAGTTAGGGAGATAGCCTGAGGCCGTGGAAATAACAGAGTGTGGCTTCTGACTCCAGCATTCACTAGCTTTGCGACCTTGGGCCTGTTGGTCATTTCATCTGCCTGGGACTGTTTCCGGGGCTATAAAATGGAAATCACCACCCAATCTCCTAAACACATGCAAAAATGCCTGGTACAGAGGAAGGGCTCGGTGAGTTTCCTTTCCTGTGCCTACCCTCTGCCCCCCTACCCCCTTTTCCTTTTTTCTCCTCCTTAAAGCAAGTAGGCTGGGCTGGAGGAGATGGCCTAGGTCCCTTCCCATCCTGACATTCAAGTAGACAAGTGAGGACAGATCTAGGAGGCACAGCAGGGAGGAGGAAGTCAGCACAGACCTCCACCCCCTGCGGCTCCCTAGGGCAAGACGCCATTTCTGCTTTGACTGGCACAGGGCTTTCAGGGAGAGGATGCGGTTTCGACCTAGAGTTCGATGCCTTAAAAGGAAGTGTGCTACATGTGGATGGGTATGAGCGCAGGCTCAAGGACCACCTGGCAGGCAGGGAGCTGGTTTTGGATACCAGCTCTCTCTGACTAGCTGGGTGATGCTGGGCAGGTTTCCTCTCTCTGGCCATTTCCCACACCTGCAGGCTGGGAGTGATGCCTGTTGCTTCCTTACAGTGCTACAGTGAGCATTACCTGAGACAAGCCCATGAAAACCCGCTGCAGCCCAGAATGCCATGTAAATGCAACATTATTGTATTGAGCTTTGCTCTGATGTTATTATATTATCAGACTTATTACTATGTGACTGAGTTAGGTGGGGGGTTGGTCAAGAAGTCCTATAAAAGATCCCAGGATTCTGTGGGACCTGAGATTCTAGAATACTGCTGCCCTAAGATTCCAAGGCAAGAAGAAACAAGTCTCTGACATGGTCAGGGCCAGAAAATTGATTGGAGGCAGACAGCGCATTGATGTAAATGACTCTTAACACTCCAGTGGCAGTGTGAGCCTGTGGGCATGTGTGATGTGCAACAGGGCAGGTTGGTGTCCATAAGCCAATGAAGGCACAGTACTCACCTTCTGGGGGGCATTGATGACTCCAGTGTTGTAGCCAAACTGCAGGGAGCCGAGCACTGCCCCTCCCACGGCCAGCATTAGGCGACCCGTCAGCTTCTGCAGAGAAACAAACCACACTGTTATAGGCGTGTCTGGGCCCAGATTACTACAGGACAGGGCTTGGACTGGCAGGTTCCTGTGTTCAGGTATCTTGCCTGACTCCTGGCACCACACCAGTCTTTCTCCCAGGAAACCTGGCCAATTCCCAATCTTAGGTGCCCAAACCAGCCTAGTTGATTTCAAGACACTGGGCTGGCCGGGCCATTTCCTGGGGAGAGAGGGGAAGTATGGTCTTCTCTCTTTGTAGCCAGGTGTCAGGAAGAGAGAGGCTTTGGATTCTTTGGGGTCTCATTTCCCTCGTGGAGCCACACCTAGGGTCTGGTGGTTCTAGATGCTCTGATTGGGAGGCCCAGGAACCAGCCCTCCTATGCAAGGGGGGCCCAAATTACATGGTAGGAGTAGCACAGATATAGAAGCACCCTGGATTTGGAGCTGAAGGTGCCAGCGTCTGATTCCAGCCCATGTGCCTGTTTGCTCTGTGAATTCCAGCAGGCTAAGTCCCCCTTGCACCACTTCTCCCCCACCCTCCATTTGCTTGTTGGCAAAATGGAAACAGCCTCATTTGTCACACTGGAGATGTGATCCCACCTTGCCCTGCCCTTCCTGCTGTTCACAGGGCAGGAAACTGAGCCCTGACAGGGTGAGGCAAGTTCCAGATCACTCAGGGGTCTGCAGCAGAGCTCAGGGCTCTGGACTCCCTGCCTGGTGCTCCTCACAGCAACAATCCCCAAACCATGAGCCTCCCAAGGCTACTTGGACATAGATGATATGCCAGGCAGGAACGCAGTTTGGAAAAGTGCATGACAAGGTGAGTACAAGTGTTGGGCCAAGGTGTTTCCAATGGGTAAAGGGCTGGGAAGGAAAAGGGGCAGTTTGCTTCTGTCCACTGGAAGTCGAGGACATGAAGCAGCAGGATAGGCAGAGGCCAGCAGGTGAAGAGCCCTGCTTAGCCACAGGTGACTGAGAGGCCACCAGGGTGTCTGCCCTGTTGGAGAAAATTACTCCTTTTCAGCTATGAAAATGAGGATGTCAGGAAATGTGACATTAGGCAGGCCTTTAACTGACTGTGGGAGAAGAGAGCCGCGGGAGGCACGTGAAAAAAAAATGACTGGCATTCACTACACACCCACACCAGGCTGGGCACTAGAAGTGGGCAGAGCTGGCCACGGCCTGGCTGTGGGTCTCTGGGCCTCGGTTTCCACAGAACCCAGAAGCAGCCTTTACTTCACGATCATCACAGATAGCTGTGGGCGTAGCTGGTATCAGGCATATTCCCAGTATGGTCTTTTCATTCTCTGAAAGCTGTCAGTCAGGGCAATGATCCCAAAAGCCGAGGTGCTCACATCAGAGGCTGCGAAAGAGGAAGGCATTGGCCCAGGAGGAGTGTGCAGCTCAGAGCCCCCTATGTGTGTGCGTTGGGTCCTTCCTTCCCACGGGTCTATCTACGTGGCCCCCTAGCCTGCCTCTGGACATTCATCCCACATGCTGGGGGTTCCCTCATACCCACGGACTTATTCCCTCTAAATCCTCTGCATTGCGCAACTGGGAAGACAGCTCCCACCCACCTACCCACGTTTTGGTGCTGCCCCAAGACTCTCCCTTCTCTCAACTCTCTGGGGAGCCTTCAGGCCCAGAGCTGTTGTTCTAAGAGGGTAGTGAGCAGCTGACAAACTTCTGGGGGACCCCAGCGACATACCAGGTCAAGCCTAACTCATAGGGTGGGCACTGGGATTAAATCAGAGGCTGTGGCAAGGCACGGAGCATCACCAGGAGGGCTCACTAAACAGTGTCTGCTGGGCCCACCGCATGCTGGCCTATCTGTCTTCGGAATTACCTGCATTTGCTTGTGGGATGCAAAGTATATACAGTATTTTTCCAGAACACATTAGAATAGATAAAAAACAAGCAATGCAGCGACATCAAGCCATGGTTTAAGAAAATGTGGTTATATAATGGAATATATAACCTGGGAGTTCGAGGTTGCAGTGAGCTGTGATCAGACCATGGCACTCCAGCCGGGGTGACAGTAAGACCCTGTCTCAAAAAATAAAGTGAAACCAAAAACAGAGCAGTGTGTGCGTTGTATGTTACCTTTTCTTTTTTTCTGAGGGAGAGTCTTGCTCTGTGGCCAGGCGCCAGACCGGGGTGCAGTGGTACAATCTCAGCTCACTGCAACCTCCACCTCCTGGGTTCAAGTGATTTTCCTGCTTCAGCCTCCCGTGTAGCTGGGACTACAGGAATGTGCCACCATGCCCAGCTAATTTTTGTATTTTCGTAAAGATGGGGTTTCACTATGTTGGCCAGGATGGTCTTGATCTCTTGACCTCATGATCCGCCCTCCTCAGCCTCCCAAAGTGCTGGGATTACAAGCATGAGCCACTGCACCCTGCCTGTATGCTACCTTTTGTGTTTAAAAAAAAATTGGCGGCCGGGCGTGGTGGCTCAAGCCTGTAATCCCAGCACTTTGGGAGGCCGAGGCGGGTGGATCACGAGGTCAAGAGATCAAGACCATCCTGGTCAACATGGTGAAACCCCGTCTCTACTAAAAATACAAAAAATTAGCTGGGCATGGTGGCACGTGCCTGTAATCCTAGCTACTCAGGAGGTTGAGCCAGGAGAATTGCCTGAGCCCAGGAGGCGGAGGTTGCGGTGAGCCGAGATCGCGCCATTGCACTCCAGCCTGGGTAACAAGGGTGAAACTATGTCTCAAAAAAAAAGAAAAAAAAATTGGCTGGGGGTAGGGAGAGAATATACACACCTATTTAAAAGAATGCACAAGAGGCCAGGCACGGTGGCTCATACCTGTAATCCCAGCACTTTGGGAGGCTGAGGCGGGCAGATTGCTCAAGGCCAGGAGTTTGAGACCAGCCTGGCTGACATGGCAAAACCCCGTCTCTACTAAAAATACAAAAATTAGCTGCGCGTGGTGATGCATCCCTGTAGTCCCTCCCTACTTGGGAGGCTGAGGCACAAGAATCACTTTAATCTGGGAGATGACGGTTGCAGTGAGCCGAGATCGCACCACTGCACTCCAGCCTGGGTGACAGAGCAGACTGTTTCAAAAAGAAAAGAAAAAAAGGACGTACAAGAAAGGTAACATTCTAACCAGGGGGACTGGGGTGACTGGGGACAGGGTGAAAGTGAGATTTCGTTTTATAGCATTTTGGGACCTTTTTGAATTCTGAATGGTGTGAATGGAGTCACCTATTCAAAATAATTTTTATAAGCCCTATGATTTCATATTATTTAGAACAAAGCAATTTAAATAAAAACGTCAGGTGGAAAATAATACAGAAGATTCACAGATCTGGCAAAAATTACGTTGGAAGAGCATGAATGAATGACACTGGCCGTGCAAGATGAGGGCTATGATGACAGGCCCCGTTTTACTTAGGTCTGCATCTGACGTTCCAGGGGTCTTGAGCCTCTGAAGTCATCCCTGGGGCCCCACTGAGCAGCTGCTCAGGGACTGTAGGCTCTGGCAGTGGGGTTGCTGGAGGCCAAGGACATGGATCTTGTCATCGGCAGGTCAAGGTCAAACTCCACTTTAGAAAACCTGCCTACCCACGCCCTGGGTCATATCCAGGCAGCTGTTGCACTAGGACCCACTAAAATAATCAATGACCCGTGCTCCAGATTCATGCTAACTAAGTCTGGGGCCCCGGATAAAACTGGACCTGGTCCTGACACAAAGGAAGGAGGTTCCAGTCCAGCGGGGTGGGGGCCGTGGGGACTAGATGAAGATGAGAGGCCAGTGTGCTCTGGGCTTCAACAGGAGGCTGGTATGAGGCACTGTGAGAGCCCTGGAGGGAAAGACTTCCGGTTTTGCCTGGGGACAAAAGATGAGTTCCCAGGAGGTAACATTGGAGCTGGGGGCCGTGAAGGACACGCAGAGTCTGCCAAGTGGGAAAGCAGTGGCAAGGCTACATTCCAGGTGGACAGAACGGTATGTGCAGGGGGAAGAAATGGAGACCGATCAGTCAGATTAAGAAACAGGGTGCTCAGTGTGGCTCAGTGCCAGGTGTAGGGAGAGGGACACAGCCCCCTGCTCCTCAATAGACACATGGCACTGCGACCAGTCTCATACTTAGCTCCCACCCTGCTGCGCCCACCACAGCCAGCTTGATCATTGCTGGGCTTGGAATGAGACCCACGTTTAAATGCTGCAAGCTGCTTCCTCTCACCTTGGAGTTGGGATATACATGGTAGCCTGCCTTGGTTTCCTCACCTAGAAAACAGGGATGAAAGTTCCTTCCTTCAAGGGTTGCTGTTAAGTTCTCTATCGGTATCCATCATGAAGCCTGGAGAATTCCCTCCACAAGTGTTTGCTGAATCAGGGAAGAATAGCAAGCTACCCTCCATCAGGCAACCATAGCACCACCTGCCTCCACCAGCCAGTGGCTGGAACTGGAACATGGCTGTGAAGTCCCTTCACTCAACGTGTATTTATTCTGGTATCAAGCTGATGAACAGTTGGTGATGACTTAGAGGATATTAGCCCCACAGAGCTTGTGATTTTCTTGTGGGAGCCTTTTATTAGGGGTGGGGAGCAATGAACAGCCCAGAATCTGGGATCCCCAGCAGCCCATCACCACTCCCTGGGGATGAGACTACTTTCTAGAACATTCCATCTCTTCCAGGCCTTTGCTCTTGCTATGTCCTCTGCAGTCTCCAGCATATTACCCATCTGCCACCCAGTCTGGGCAACTCCTTAACAATGGAACCAGGGGCACTGACTTGTGTCTGTAATCCCAGCACTTTGGGAGGCCAAAGTGAGCAGATAACTTAAGCTCAGGAATTCAAGACGAGCCTGGGCAGCATGGTGAAACCAGGTGTCTACTAAAATTACAAAAAAAAAAAAAATGGTGAAAAAGAATTAGCTGGATGTCATGGCACACATCTGTACCTAGCTACTCCAGAGGCTGAGGTAGGAGGATCACCTGAACCTGGGAGGCGGAAGTTGCAGGGAGCTGAGAGACGTGCCACTTCACTCCAGC